GAACATTCTAGAAAGTTCCGGTTTAAGAAGTTCAACTTCTGTTTTCGTAAGCGAGAGTGAAGGAGCAGAAGTATTGTTGCATGCTCCGTGCTCCGACCTATTTGCCTATTCTTTCGTGTGTAAAAAAAAAAAAAAAAAAAAAAAAAGGCTAATGAGGAAGCAACAACAAAAAAGGTTGTTTTACCTAAATATGAAGTATGTGATGTGACACTGATCATGACGTGACATCTGAACCATCAGACTTAGACAGGCACGTAGCCAGGATTTTGTTTCCGGGGGGGGGGGGGGGGGGGGGGGCGCCCATGACAAAATACTGCATGAGCGGGAGGGGGAGAGGAGGCCCCAGCAAAATGGAAGATTTCGGGGGGGGGGGGAGGGGGGGCCGGGCCCCATTCCCCCCCCCCCCCCCCCCTGGCTACGTGCCTGCACTCAGGACCATATAAGTAAGTTCGCAAGCGCCCCCCCCCCCCCCACAAAAAAACAAACAAAAAACGACAAGGAAGTTATTGAGAAGCAAACACGCAGACAGTCTTCACCATCCATCAACGTAGCGATCAAAAGAATCAAGGTGGAGAAAGCTGGACCATTACCAGTTCAGCCGGAGCGAATGACCAAGAGGTCACTGCGGATCCAGCGCGTCGAAACACATCCTCCATCACCGCCTGGTCGGGGTACGCAGAGGGACACAGCATGATGTCCTAGTTCTGTCGTCGGCCGATCTCTTCTCCGTCCAAACAAGGAGCAGACCGAGTCTGTCCACTTTCTCCTCCCTCCCAGAAGGCAATTATCTCCGCGTCGACCGCGAGATTGCGTCCGTCTTCTTGGCGACAAAGCCATTGTCCAAGCCACAGACAATGGTGTGGTTACGCAGATCACGCATGCGCGGACCACACGAAGAAATTTAAGCTGACGAAGTGTGTGTACCGTAGAAAACAATGGTCAGGAAGATAAAAAAAAAAAAATCTTTGTGCGGGTGTAGGTTAGAGGAAAATATAATAACTTTATTGAGGCACCATGTTGCGAGGGTCTGGCATGAGTGTTGCACGCGGCTCTTACCAATAATCTCACACACACACACGCACACACACAAGCGCGCGCGCACACACAGTCGTTTGGGAGTTCACACCACGGTCACGCCAAGACAATGTGATCACCATAAAAAGTTTTCGAAACAGATTTGTTTATAGAAGCTCGTATATTGTTTACAGCAACAAGCGGCAGTAGCGTGGGCATTAGTATACGTGTTGTGACCCGAGTTTTTCGAATGGCAAAGTTACTTTGCTAGCTCAGCGTTCACACCCCACTGACCTACCTTAGAGTTCAAGCACTTGGTGCCGTCAGCGAGTACTACAGAGGGTACAACTTGCGCCGCACTTAGGTCACGCGGCCATAGCCTGGAGGGGGGTTGCCAGATTGGTTATAAGCGCCTGACGTCATATCACAACCTGGTATGAGCGCGCAGTTCACACGCCATATCTAAAATTTCACCGTATATATAACGTATAGTAAGTGAGGAAGTCATATTTGCGCCAAGCTCATTGTATGACAAAGCATGATTGAGACATCAAGCCCAAGCACGCGCATTGAATCATTATACCAGCGTAAGGCCCCTAGAAACATGCAAGACATCATGAATGACCATTTTATTATAAATCTGCTTCAAGTCATAACTAGACGATTTGAGTCCTAAAATGATCTTGTTGGGCGTACTGTTGGACAACGACTCAGCAAAATAAATACACTTCACAGGGCTCGGCATTCAACAAAGGTCGTCCTGATACACCAAAGATCCGACCATGCAGCAGCCGACGTGGCTCAAACTCGCTCCCTGGTCGGTTCTCTTGCGAGCTCCCACGTCACGGCTTATTCGGCAATGGGGAGCGAGCGCTAGCTTCTCTCATTTAATCTTGAGGACGCGTGATTCTATGGTCATCACGTCGTGACTTTGATCGTTTGTACGCTGAAGGCACGGGCTGAGGTCTTCGAGGACACCGCACACACAAACGACGAAATGGTCCTTGAACGCTGTGTTAGCAATCCGAACGCCGAGCGAAAATGCCCAGGGTTACATGTTTCGACACGACGAGATGAGAAACGAAAAAACGCAATTTAAGTTATGGGCATTGTTGTAGAGACGTGACAGCTAAGAGGGTGCCGACTGGAGCGTCCGTCAGTCCGGTTTGATTTTGGTCAAGGCGAGAGTAGGAGCCTTCTCGGCTGCTAATTGGACGTGACGTCACAGCTTGCGCACGTAATCCACCAGTGTTGCTGCCCTTGCGAGTTCACAATCTGGCAATATAATTCGGCGAGACCGCGTCCAACATAAAAATAGCGATAGGGTTCTCGCGGCCTCTGATGTGCGTTTGTCCTTAGTATTCATTCATCCACCGATCAATGTTAGCCTGTGTACGGCAGCAGAACATCTTGAGCTGCGCAAACTAAAGGTGCGAGTTGTCAATGGATTTTAACGTGAAATAGTAGAGGATCATAATTTCAGCCTGCGTCCGATCTCAATTCACCGCGGCGCTCGGCTCGTAGCAGACCTATATCTACTTTTTTTTTTTTTTTCCCGGTCAGTTAGCAGGCGGCTTATGGCGTTTTCTCGTTTTATTCGTAGCAGACGGACGGGGACGGACCGCGTTGTTCGCTCGCACAGTCTACGAACGCTACTTTTCTTCGCTCCGTGAAAGGCAAATTAGGTATCGCCATCGCTCTCGCAGTGACCAAAAGCGGACCCCAGGAGACTGACGGAGGACATCGTGTCCGTTCCGGAGCGAGTTTTCGCGCCCTAGTTGATCGGGCAGACGGGGCCAAGGTCAGACCGTCAGAGAAGCAGGAAAATGTCGACTTTGCGATGGGCACTCTTCGTGAGTAGTGCGCAACAACGGCGGAGATGAAACGAGAGAGGCGTAGGATCCTGGACGCCTTGCCATCCATTGTTTGGTCGAGAACAATGGAACCGGCTACTTTAGATGGGCAAATAACAACGTTCCAAACGACACTGGAGGAGAAGTAAAGAGAGAAAAAAAGTACGAGAAGAAAGTAGAGGAAAAAGTGGCGTGCAATTGGTCGCTCCAAAATAGAAAGCTTCGCGAGTTCTTTCATTTGTAGATCCGCGCAAAACGGCAACCGTGCAGTAATGACACAACGCGAAGACATTCGTGTGAAGTGCGCTCCACGATGCTTCCAGGGTTCACAAAGCCTGCAGCTTTTTTTATTTTTTTTTTATTTTTTATAATCTCTACACTTCAAAGCACGATGCAAGAGTTTCACGCTGCACGCGTGTCTGTAACTCCTGGTTGCCTGTTTAGGCGTCTACGGAACGAATGTTCTGCCAGTGCCACGTCGAACATGCCCAAGCGCGTACCATGACTGTTGAACTTTGTGAGGTTCCACTACGGCTCAAATAACGGCTATATATATATTTTTTTTTTTCATGAAGCTAAGACACGTACGTTAGTTTCAACTAAAAGAGCTTGACATGCTGTCGAAATCAAAGAAACAGGAAGACAAATTAACGAAAAAGAAGCCACCGGTTTAACACAGAGCCACTAAATGAGCCACACTTCGAAGTAACGTCACATCAGCCAACTTCATGCTCACAACCTTGGTTGCTGTAGTTGTCCGAAGCTATATCTGAAACGGCAGGAAACGCTTTTCCGTCATCCAGAAATGTTAAAACAACCCGCGACAGAGCCAAGCGGTATCGCCCCAGCTCCCTGACACTGCAACCAAAGCCCAGGAAGCCGGAGTTTCGAATCCCAACGGTCGCCAGATGCGCCAGCTCTGCACAAAACACCAAAATGGCGGCGCTCGTAAGAAAATCGCGAAACGGAGTGCCAATACTCTTTGCCTGCGCTTTATTTACTGGCCCTAGTTCAAGCGATCTGGCGAATGAGGTAACTTCAAGCCTGCGATGATGCCAGTCATGGGACCAGACAACACATCCCCCCCCCTCCCCCTAAAACAATGACGCGTACAAATCAACGATCCTCATCCAATCTGGCTATCACCTACATGAAACCTCTAGATCAACCGACAAGGCAGAGCGATATATTACCTGCAACGTGCAGCCTCAATAATGTGCACCTCAATAATGCGCAAACACAAGGTGTCAAAAAAAAACAAAAAAAACACGAGCCATTGCAGTTACACCCAGTATATGTCGAGGCAACACCTCTTCGAGAACAAGGCCGCGGCGCTGGATTTGGCACGTCATCCACAAGCGGCCAGCGCGGGAAGCGGATTGTAAACACTACAGGTTGGACACTGATGGCCGCTTGTCGGTGACGTAGAAACTCCCGCGCTACGACAACACTACTAGAAGACAGGGCCTGCGCCTTTCTCTTCCAGACGTCATCACTATAGTGGATTCACGCAGCGCCGCCTATGCGGATCGCAAGTTCGTCTGCTTCTTGCTCTAAAAAAAAACATAGTGGGTAGACCTTAAGGCATCTAGCGTTGAGGTCTATCCACTATCCTTTCAATCAGAGCTCGGAATCGCTTTGACGACACCGTAACCCCTGCGCAAGAAACAGACGACTTGCGTGCATTCCGCATCGGCTACGGCCCGTCAAGGCGTGCTTTGACCTGACCGAAAGAAACGCCCGTTGCGTGTCGCTCCATTGTGACGCAGCGTTTTTGCAACCGATAATCCGGTAGTCCACAACGTCGAGGGTTACCCACAACTTCAGTTTTCGGATTACGTGTCGTTAATCTTCTTGTTAAAAAAAAAATCAAGACTAAGCCCTTTTGGGGGTACTTTAGGATCCCGAGTACCACGATGCACCGAGATTTTCAAGGGCGATCTGGAAGAACGGTATATCACTGATGTCCAAGTCCAAAGGCGCATTTCGACGCACCCTCGTATTTCCCGACGGGCCCAAACTGGAACGAGTTTGGTTCGTGCAGCCTTAATTAGGCCGCACGAGTGGTCCCGCGAGTAACACGTCGTATAGGACAGCGTGGCGCGTTGTCCCGGAGATGTCCAGGTGTCCGGCCTAGGTGACGGTGACGCCGAGGATGATTCCCAGAATCACACCGATGGTGACGACCGCCAGGATAATCCAGAGGACCACTAGATGACCTTTGCAGCACACCTGCGTTGTACCATGCAAGGAACAAAAAAGAAAGAAAGAGAAAAAGTCAGTAGTGTTTGATGTAGCCACTGGCAAGGTGAGAAGGGCAGGGAGGAGCTACAGTTGTCCCACCTCCAGCGCGAGCTTCCTGCCATTGACAATGGTTCGATGTCTCCTGCAACTCGAGCGCGCGCGGGCAGGCGAAGCACGGTGGAAGGCATGGAGCGCGTGCTGGAGGCTAGGTCTTCGAAAGACACTCCCTGCCGTTCTCATTCTGCCGGCGACTATAGTTCATATCATAGCCTCCTCTATGCTGACAACTGAGCCTGGCAGATCGCCACGAGAAGCGGCCGCCGCAATGGAAAAGGTGGAGCTGCAGACAGCGGATGAGAGGATATAGCCACGTGACTGGCGCCCCGCTGTGGCGAGACGCCGAAACACACTTCTCCCGAACGAAAAAGTGTGTTTCGGGTCTTCGCCGCTGCAAAAGCTGCGCGCTGACGTCCAGGTTCCCCTAGAGTTCCTGTATACAGCTACCTACGATAGCAGAGTTGCGCATTCAGCATCGAAGGGTGGCCGTGGCGCCGGCTTTCCTGCACGCCCTGGATGCTTTGCTCATCACGCGGCTAAAGGTACGTTTATACTCCAACGCAACGTCGACGGGCGCGGCGTAGCACAGCGCGCACAGATACTGATTGGTCGCAGATATCGAGTTCCCGGTTGCCGGCCAATGAAAGGCGCGCGTTCTGAGCTACGCTGCGTTCACTGCGCTCAACGCCGGAGTATAAACAGCCCTTAAATTTGGCGAATAGCGGCGCCGCGCGTGGAAAACAGAAAAAGAGGAGGAGGCGAAAGCAGGGGAACATACGCCGGGGCTTGAGCAACGTCGGCAGAGCGACCGTAAAGGTGGCTTTCTTGCACGGCGCCGGATGCTTTGCTCCTCACGTGATGGATCTCGGCGAATAGCGGCGTAGCGGCGCGGGGACAACAAATGCGCAACTCTGCTCCTTCTTCGGGGGGAGCATATCGAGGAACTCTAGGGGAACCTGCCGACGTTGCTCGCGCCCCGGCATATGTTCCCCTGCTTTCGCCTCCTTCTCCTCTTTTTCTGTTTTCCATGCGCGGCGCCGCTATTCGCCAAATTTAATCACGTAACGAGCAAAGCATCCAGGGCGTGCAGGAAAGTCGGCGCTACGGCCATTCGCCGAGGCTGAATGCGCAACTCTGCTACCGTATAGGTAGCAGAGTTGCGCATTCAGGCCTCTAACTCCCAGGCTTTGTGAGTATAGAGGAGGCTATGTTCATATATTGTTCTATGTACGAACACCTTTCATTTGAATAACTGTGTATTCTTTTATATATCTATATATATGTGTGTATGTGTGTTTTGGAATGAAGCAGCGCAAGCCGGTTATTTTAAAATGATAATTGTCCGGTTAATTTTAATAACTCGTTTTCACTGAGCGCCATCTTCGAAGTGCCTTGTTCACAGCGCACGAACGAGCTCCCCATTTATTGTCTGCTATGAACGAAAATTTGGATGGAATGAAATGCACATTGTGGGAGAACTGTGTTATAGGTCGCCCTTAGCAGCAATTAAAAGACACGGTTATTCATTTATTTATATACCCACAAGACCCTTTCTGGCTTTACGTAGGGGCGAGCAGGAGTGAGTAAAAATAAATCTTGAAAACTAATTTAGCTTTGCAGCCAAAATATCATACGGTTACAAATGGTTACATTCTTGCAAACGTACGAACTATACAGTTTCACATAAAAAGTCACCGAGCTATGTTCCAGTTACTTTTAAAAGATCCCCGATGTGCTGTCATTGCTGACCAACAGTTCACTTTCCGCGGAAAAGATTATATTTTTTATTCAGCAATCAGCTCATTCAAAGGTTTGAGGCAGTTCCATGGAATGAAAAGCCAACTTTTTAGTTGCACTTACAGTAGCTAATTACACCTTAAGTTAAAGAAGTTTCAATGTAACTTGATGTTTTGTAGTTACAGGAATGGAAACTAATAACAGTAGCTTAAAATTAGAACTTTATATTCCAGCTTTGACTAGCCGTTCTGCGTTCTCCCTGCAGATCAGACCCTCAAGAGTCAAAGGCCTTTGTTTTTACAGGGCCAATCAACTATGCGGCAGCGCAGCGGATCTCCTGGCTTATCAAATAAATACAACGTTATATAAATGAATTTGCATAGCACAACGTTTTTAATTGGGCGGCAACTTGCGCTTCCTAGCGAAAATAAATAAATACAAGAGAAGTGCCACGAACTTGGTCGACGGAGTAGTAGTCCTGCTCGAGCTTCGGGGGCTGGAGCACCGGGGTCTTGGGCCGGAAGGGGTCCCTGGTGGGCAGGGGCTCCGCCGGGAACACGTAGGGCCGCGGCCTCATCATGGGAGGCATCAGGTGCGGGGGCGGCATGTAGGGGGGCCCCATGGGAGGGGGCGGGGCCGCCGGGGGCACTCCCAGGGCGCTCATGGACCCGTGCAGGGATTTACGGTCCAGCGGTGCCATCGGGTAGTAGCCCGCGCGTACGTCGAACATGGACCCGAACCTGGGACATAAGCACGTCGAACATGAACCGGAACCTGTGGCAGTAAGTCGTGGAACATGAACCTAAACCTGGTATAATAAGCACGTCGAACATGAGCCGAGACCTGGTGCAATAAGCTCATCGAACATGGAACCGAATGATGAATATAATTCCCGAAGAAAGGGGACAAGGGAGACCAAAGGACAAGGACAAATCTCCAAACACAACTAGGTGACTGGTGCGCGACCGAAAACATCCGCCTGGTCCATGTATTGAACTAGGGACCTCTCCATTTCCAGTGGAACGCTCTATCAACTGAGCTATTATTACATTATATTGAGGCACAAAAAGCCTCTGTTTGCCTGGCTTCCCTAACCTTTCGAAGACCTCCCTAGCTTTTCCTCAGACCTGTCCCTCGAAGCCCTGACCACGCCCGACTCCTCCCTGTTTCTCGACCATTTCCCGTTTCCCAAGAGGCGCATTGCCTCCTCAAGGAAGCCTTTGCTCTAGACCTGGCTTCCCTAGCCTTTCGACAAACTCTCTAGCTTCCTCTCAGAGATGTCCCTCGAAGCCCTGACCACGCACTACTCCTCCCGATTTTCTGTATCTCAAATGGAAGCCTGTGCTCTAGACCTGACTTCCCTAGCTTTTTGAGTAACTCCTAGCTTTCGCGATGAAAATAATCCCTGGAGAAGGGGAACAAGAGGGACAAAGGACAGACACAAATCTCCAAACACAGCTAGGTGACTGGTGCCCGACTGAAAAAAACACAGCTAGGTGACTGGCGCCCGACCGAAAAAAACAGTCACCTAGCTGTGTTTGGAGATTTGTGTTTGTCCTTTGTCCCCCTTGTTCCCCTTCTCCAGGGATTATTTTCATCATTCTTGTCCAGCTCGCTTGCACCTTTGCATTTAATTGCATTATAATTATATCCATAGCTTTCCCTCGGAGATGTCACTCGAAGCCGTGAGCACGCATGACTCCCCATTTCCCGTTTCTCAAGAGACGCATTTCCTCCTCACGGGAGCCTATGCTTTAGGCATGGCTTCCCTAGCCATTCGAGAAACTCCAAGCTTTCCCTTGGAGCTGTCCCTCGAAGCCCTGACCACGGACGACTCTTCCCCATTTCTCGACAATTTCTCGTTTCTCAAGAAGCACATTATTTCATTACGGAATCCGGCACTCTAAACCTAGTTTCTCTAACTTTAGAAAGCAAAAAAAAAAAAAAAAAAAAAAGCAAAAAAAAAATTCAAAACAACTTTTTTAATGGAACTTTTTAAACTTTTTCGGGAGATCGTCTTCAGAATCCCTAACCACGTACGATCCTTTCCATTTCCCGACCTGTTCCCACTTCTGGCGCCTTACCTCCTCATGGATGCTTGCGCCGGCATTGACTGAGGCAGCTGAGGCGGAGGTCCGTGAGGCGGTCCGAGCGGCGGAGGCCCGTGCGGTGGCGGAGGCCCGTGCGGCGGGTAGAACGAGGGACCGTGGCCATGCACGGGACACGGCTCGCCGTCCCACGTGGCCAGGGCGAGCGCCGGGACGCTTCTCGTCGACCTGAGCGTGCCGCCGCCCGCCCGAAAGCCTTCCTGGTGCTGGTGCCACGCCTTGCCGGCGGGAGGTGCGGGGCGGCGCACCAGGGACCGGGCCATCTCCTCGCGGTCGTCCGAAGAGGTGCTCGTCGAGTCCGACGGCGAGGACGGGCGTCTGGAAGGCACGCGGTGCTGGTGCGGATGGTGTGGGTGCTGGGGTGGGTGGTGGTGCCGGCTGAAGGAAGGGAGGCACGTACGTCGTTCGGAAGACACTGATACGGCATATTAAAGCTTGGAACGCTTAGTGAAGTCGCCTCAACCTTCGGCATCGAGACATAAAATAAAATAAAAACGTTAGCAAATACCGTCTGGAAAAATATTGCCAGTTCCTGCTGCACACTTCTACACAGTCTCGATAAATTCAGCGGACGGTATCCATACACCAGTGTGCACCATAATGTCAGGTGACAGTAAATTCCCGCTAATTTTAGCGTAGAAACGTTTCCGATAAATTTAGCGAAAAATTATTCCCTACAGCAAGCGGGAAAATTGTGACGTCATGTGAAATGACGTCACGTGACACGCTGACGTCAGAATGTCACGACACCAAGATTCTTTGCCATATCTAGCGGGTAATTTGCGACAGTGATTGGGTAGAATAGGAGCAGAAAGGGAGATTAGGTGCGCGTGGTTGGTCCCCTCTCGGGGATTCAGCCCGCTTCGGTATATAGCCACACAGACATATAAAGAACGGCGTGGAAGGTGTTGGTATAGGGTATCGTATCGTTACCTGGGCGGCCTGTAGCTACCCTGCCAGGGCCCCTGGCCGTTGGGTAGGGCCTGCCCTCCTCCTCCTCCCCCGGGCCTGTGTCCTCCTCCCCCCACGTGCGAGTCCTCCAAGGAAGACGGCGACCGCACGTGCTGATGTTGCTGCTGCCGCCGCGGGTCGTGCAACATCCCCGCTCTCACAGCGTCACCTGCAAGTCCACGACGTGTCTAAGGCCGGGGTCTCACACTGCTTACGCAACGTATACGAAAGACACGCTTTTCGCGACAGAAACTGATGACACAAGTGCCTGCGGACAGCCTCAGGCATGTCCGAAGCGCTTCACATACGTATGCTAGCATGTCTGCAGACAGACTTTGTATGTGACCGTCAGACGAGGGAACGCCTCGGACAGTGTGTCTTCTGCATCACCATAGCCTCCTATATACTGACAAAGCCGGGCAGGTCGCCAAGAGAAACGGCCGCCGAAATGGAGAGGGAGGAGCGGCAGACAACGGATGAGAGGAGAGCCACGTGACTGGCGCCCCGCTGCGGCGAGAGGCCAAAACACTTCTCCCGAGCGAACAAGTGTGTTTCGGGTCCTCGCCGCAAAAGCTGTGCGCTGACGTCTAGGTTCCCCGAGAAATGGCTTTTTGATGCTCTGTGCCACCAGATCCTCGTGCTCCAAATCTGCGACCGGGCACTCTATGGCTCCGTCGTCGAACTGCCAGTCTTCGTGAGTATAGAGGAGGCTATGGTCTCCCGTACTGCAGAGTGACCGCGTTGATCGCACGCACAGTTCACGTCTCGTCGAACCCGTACGAAAGACTGATTCACCACTCACACCTGGAGCATTTAATTCATTTTTTGTTGTTGTTGTTTGTTTCACATTTCCACTGCTAGGCCGCGTCGGTTTTAGCTGTACTATACAGGTTGTGGTTCGCTGCTTTTATCCTTCCCGTCTTTTTCCGCTGGGTATATGTCGCCATCCTTGGAGTTGCTAACAGCATCTCTATCCCCATCTTCGGTCAAGACGCACTCATTTTGAGCAGTTCCTGGAAACACCAAAGTCCTTCCACGGATGTCCCTCATTGCCATATGCTGTAACCACTATTCGTTACTTTCGATTGCGTGTTTGCATTACTCTTTTATACGAGTGTTGTTTTATGCCGTCTAACCACACTTTAAAGAATTCCCACTATTGCGAGAATAAAATGGACGCGAACTAATCAATATGGATGGTAGCAGAAATAATAAAACAAACTAGGGACAAGGGACGACGCTCTTCAGTTAATGTGAACTTTTCTCTTTAGAGCCTATGTTTTGTCCAAAATCAAAATGGGTCCAGGTGATTTTTTAATAATTTGTATTACGGAAACTTTTCTATTTAGTGCTTATGTTTTGGCCAAAATCAAAATTGGTCCAGGTGATTTTTGAATAATTTTGTATCATACACTTCTTGTAAATAAAACCCATTATGGAATCGATTGGATTGATTGGTTGTACTGATTGAGTGATTGGTTGATTGATATTCAATCAAGCTCCGATCAGGCGCAACACAGGCAACGCCTTGTGTCGCGGTTAACATTGTCGAGCAAGCTTATATCAGACGTTGTCTCGCAGGATTTCATTTTCTCGCGGGAGCTGCTGCGAATGGCGATGCTGGGCGTCGTATGCTTTTATAAATCGTGGCTGCAACAAGCCGGTTCAGTTCACGATCTGACATAGTCCACTTCAGATTACGCATATTGCGGCCAACTTTTTTAAATTTTGATTTAAAAACGTCTTACATCAAATACCGTTTTTTTTATATATATAGATGTCAACAAGGTTTTGCGATAGTGAAAAGTTGACACCCGATGTTAAGTATCTTCATACAAAGAAAAAAATAAATGCAGCAAGATGGCCGCCGTGGGCCCTCAGGTAGGTCTAGTTCTTAGAACACAAAACCATCTCCCAATAACGCAACTATATATATATATATATATATATATATACAGTATATACCGGGTGTTTCAGCCAGAACTGACAAAAATAGTGTATTCCAGGTAAAAAATATCATTTTCTCGGGACCGCATAACTCGCAGTGGAGGACGTCAAACAATGCGCAATCCTTACTAATTAGGTCGCCAATTATTTAAAAATGACTAATTAACTTTTTAATAACTGAAAATAGACATATGGTTCCAATTAGAAACTTCTTAAGCGTCATCGAAAACCACCATATCAGTAATTTTCAGGAAGAATTTGAGCACATGGGAAGCGCTAAAGTTACCACTCGTGGAGCAGGTACAAGACAGGGGCTCTGATAAGAGACGAAAAAAATCGCGCGGGCGCTTTATCGCCACCGCTAGCCTTGTACATGCTCCACGAGTGGCAACTTTAGCGCACTGCTACGCTTCTCACGCGCTCAAAGTCTACCTTAAAATTGCAGATTTAGAGGTTTTCGATGACGCTCAGACAAGTTTCTAATTGAAAACATATGTCTATTTTCACAAATTAAAAAAAAGTTAGTCATTTTAATTAATTAAGGAACTAATTAGTAATTAGATCTGCAATTTTTTTTGTCTTTCTCTTGATTGCTGTTTTTCCCGGCTCTGTTGCTGTTTTCTGTAAGCGGTCAGGGACCCGTCAAGCTGTACCTGATAGCAATTCTTTCCCTGATCGCCACCATCTTATGGTGGAAATAATAATAATCAATCAATCAATCAATCAATCAATCAATCTTTATTATACAGTGCCCAGGAACAACCCTGAGGTCTTGGTGCTGGTACACTGGTAGATAAAAAAAACAAAAAACAAAAAAACACACTATACACATCTCCGCAGAAAATAAGATACATTTTTAGCATAATACTAGGCAGTGCACGAGTAATTAGTACAATGAAATAAAAACGAGGCAGTAACAGTAGAGACGGAACACAAGACCGAAGGACAACAACTGCACCACCAGAAAACACGACATGGAGATGACGACATTCAGACATAACAAAGCAATTCAGCAATGCTCATCCTGCACGGGCAAGTTTTTAATAGAAAGGACAAACGTCCTGTAGCAAGGGTTGAAAATATCAAGTTTTTCAGAGTAATGATTCAAACGCTGAGCCATTCTCACAATTGGGTTTACCGGACTAAACATTCTAGAAACATAAAAAGATGACAGAAGACGAATAGGCACACGTGGGACCCTAAGGTACAGTTCAGATAACAGGCTCGGAGAATTGATGAGTCCATGCAGCGTTTTAAACAAAAATAGTAAGTCCGCGTTCTCCCGACGCCGGTGCAAGCTAAGCAAACCAACACGCTCTAACGCAGACTCATATGTTAAACAGAGAACATCCTCCTTTATGTAGCGATGTTTAAAGATAGAAACAAACTTTTTTTGCACACGTTCGATGTCCAAGGAGTGACTTTTAGAAATTCCATTCCAAACAACTGAGGCATATTCTAACTGTGACCTGGATAGCGAGCAGTATAACGTGATAAAAGCCGTCGGGTTTTTGAACTCCCTGGTTAAGCGAGAGGCAACACCCAACATTCGCAAAGACGAGTTAACCAGCCTACCAACGTGATCAGAGAAACGCAACCCAGAATCAACCATGACTCCGAGATCTTTCATTACACTTACTCGAGACAAAGTCTCTCCTTGAATATTATATGCAAAAGAGATATTGTGAGTTTTCCGAGAGAGCGTCATGACCTTGGTTTTGGACGGGTTCAAGAGAAGGTCATTTTCAGAGCACCATCGGTAGAAAGAACATGCATCTTCCTGGAGCTTAGCACAATCACGTTCAGTAACTATTTCTCGATAAATTTTTATATCGTCAGCATATTGCAGGAATGAAGAATTTAAAACAGCAAAAGAGACGTCATTTACGAAAATTGTGAACAGAAGGGGTCCTAAAACAGATCCCCGAGGAACGCCAGAGCGAGTCCTGTACAACGAAGAGTTTATGTTGTTAACCCGGACATATGCCTCTCTCTCTGACAAGTAGCTTTTTAACCAGTCATGTACTGAGCCACATACTCCATAGGAGGAAAGTTTGGATAAAAGAATAATATGATTGACTACGTCAAAAGCCTTACTTAAGTCAAAGTAGACAACGTCCAACTGACCTCTGTTACATATTACACGAGATGCAGCAGACATAAAGCTAACGAGATTGGTAGTTGTTGATCTGCCGCTCATAAAACCATGCTGATTGGGAATTGCTAAGTTTCGAAATTTGAAAGACAGGAATTGATGAACTACCATTTCAAAGAGCTTAGAAAATGGAGAGAGAAGAGAAATAGGTCTATAGTTACAAATATCACCTTTTTTTCCCGACTTTAAGACTGGAACAACAGCAGCGACTTTCCACGTTTCAGGAAAGGTTCCCAACCTTAACGAGTTGTTAAATATAGAGCACAGTACCGGCGTGAATATGTCGTGATACGTTTTGAGAATCCCAAAGGGAATGCCGTCGGGCCCTACTGATAATGTTGCTCTCATTTTCTTAATACAGGATCGTACGGACTCTTCATCAACATTAATGCAACTTAACAAGTCACCAAACCCATCTAAGTGAGGCAGCACAGGTGCAGAACGCTGCGTACTATCCCTGTAGACGGACCTAAAATGCTCAGCAAATAACTCAGGCATGGACTTCAAATCGCTCTCGTGATTATCCAGGACAATCTTCGACTCGATATGCCTCCCAGAACGTGAATTAATGTACTTCCAGAATTTCTTCGGATTATTGACAAGATCTGATTCCACTGAGCAACGATGAGCCTGGCGGTCGCGATCCAGGACCGTCTTACATTGCTTTCTGCAGTTCTTGAATTCCACCTCCCACTTTAAAAGGCCAATTTTCTTAAACTTCCTGTGAAAGAAGTCCTTTCTTTTCAGTAGTGTTTTTAGCTCACTGGAAAACCAGTTAGGAAAGCGAGATTTAGTAACTATCCTTAACGGAATAAAAGTATCCATGGCCTTCCGAACAGTTTGCGTGAAGAGCATGACCTGGTCATTCACATCAGGCGACTCCAAGATCAATGCCCAATCAAAACTCGTGAGGTAATGATGCATCCCGACATAGTCCCCTGCCGACAGATTATATGAGGTGTGCCTTGGGGAATCACTAGAATGAGCACGAACAGAAGAATTCTCGAAAGAAAGTACTATATCAAGTGCAGGATGATATGTATCCTG